GACACATTCCGAAATATGTCATCAAAAAGCGCAGTTTCAAGTGAACGAACGGTGCATAGACGAAGCCAGCCGAAAAGCACATAAAACAAACGAAACACTCTGCGAAATGAATTGTTTTCGACAGCTCTCTGGAAAAAAATGTAGTCAGCTACGAAACATTGCGAATTTCTATGGAAATAGGCGATTAGATGAATGCATCTAGCACTAGCCATCCAAAACCCTAACCGTCTCGAAGCATCACAACGTTTGCAAATTCCTTCACGCATTCCTTATTTTCAACTTTACATTTCAACTTTAATATTTGATTCACCTTCAACTGATCACTAGTAGAATGAATCGTTAGGGTCGCTGAAGCAAATTACACTATGATCCATGCTTCAAGTAAGAATGAAATGGTGCTATCAGTGGAAAAAAGCGTTAAACTTTATCGCCAGCACAACATTCCTCACAGTCGGAAGCACTCCGAACCGTCAGCCATCGTCACATCATCGACGTAGATTTTGAGTGGCTGAAATGGTGAAATTTCTCTGCTTCATATTTTGAACACCTTTTATAAAAACCATCATCAGAGAATAAAAATGCTGTGGTGTTTTCGAATTACCGTTTGATAATGTTGTAGAAATGATGTTGTGTTGGCCGTTCCCACAAGAACTTCAGTCCCAATTCGTGCCACACAATTCCGAGCAACTTTCAATGTGAAAACAGGTGAGTATATCTTTTGATGGAACCAAATCGACGAATTACCTAATGCAATTTGTGAGCATAAAACTGGTCTGAACGATTGGCCATGTTCAGATCATCTGTACGTTCAAGTTTGACGCCACATGATATGCAGATAAAGCGTTGAACTATCATCAAACTATATTCCATTGATAGAAGGAAATCGCTCGCTGACAATTTACACATCTATTCTTTAGATAATGCTAATTGTAAGTAGATTTCTTGTTTCCGTCGTCTTTTAAGTCTTTGATCTATCGTGACCATTGCGAGATGGATGCTCGAAATTTGAAAGTGGTCATTTCCAGATCATGTTCAGTCAAAGAGGTTAAGCGTTTAGTTTATGACTTATGACATTCTAATGGACCTCAGCTATCGGAATGTTCAGATAAACCATGAGTTGAGCTACCATCCAAATTTAGAGATTAATGTTTTTTAGCTGTTATTACTACTATAGCCTGTAGTAGCTATAGTTTACTAGCATTAGTAATAGCTATAAACGTGATTATCGGAAAAAATCGCCTGCTCTAGAAATGAGCAAACATATCAAACCTTTTCATTCGTTGCAACCACATACAAATCCCGAATTCGTTGCACATGTGTAAAACTGCCCATGATTCGACGGATATGCACTATACAATCATTTAACGTGTTCACGTCGCAATCCGTTTTATCTAATTGCGTCAACGGACACTCATAAACGTAACCACCCTAAATCAGCATACATTCATTCGATATAATAGCTGATACAAACTGACTAATTCTAAGTTCTTTTCCTGCGAGAATGTCATACTTTTCGTTGGCACTGATCACTTAGTATCACCGATTCTGCTGTTTTGTTGACTGTGACAGCCACGTATTTTGGTATATCGGTGAGAGCAAACAGTTGAAAGTCCTTCATGAATCGGGCCACTTTGGCAGTCTGAAAATTCACATCTAGTGAAGCGATAAAGGATTTAGTCGATTCATCACATGCAAAAGTTACCTGATATAATGTTCGCAATTGATTTATGGCTATGAATGGTACACAAACATCAGAATATATCACGTTCTGTCGGATATCACATGAACGTGGTATGACCTGAACGTAGAATAGTGTTAAGTAACGATGCTCTGCGTAGGCAGATTCTTCGAATACACTGTCGCCGAATATTGTTCGAACAATCTGAATTGAATGAATAATTAAACTAATTTAAGGATTTCGATTCAATTGAGTGATCGATTCAATGATACTTCTGATGAAAAACGTAGCAATGCCAGTTCTGATATGCTTTGATCATTTCTATTGATCGAAACCATCTAAAAAAGAGAAATGGATCATCTGAAAAGGAGAATTCAATCAAATTTAATTTCAAATTAAGTTTCA